ATGCTCTAGTCGTGTAACAGGGCAAGTACTGGAAATGATCTGTGTACTTTGTGAGAACATCTTCAGTCTGTAAAACCCCTCAGGTATTAGACTGATGATCATCCCTCGGTGGTGTAATGAAAAATTATGTTACTTGGGTCTCCTCTCAAGGAGAGGACTATTTGATGCCACGTTGTGTATGCTTGCCACAATTTTAAATTAAGGGACACTGAGCTAGTCACTGAATTGTGAACTGTGGCTGCTTAATAATCAAATGAAAGGGGCTTTGAGTATTCTCCAACAATACAAACAATATGTTACTTCATTCCTATTCCTGTAATTTTTTTCTACTGAAACACCAAAAAAAAAAAAAAAAACTCCAACACCAGCCAGACCTTTTAGTTGGAAACGCCATTCTCTGTCGATGCCCATTTATGGTGTAAACATTGCACTCCATGGGGCAAGGCGTACCTAGTGTAGCTTGGCTATTCATGCATGCCATTTTGAACTTAATTATTTAAGTGACATATTAAAGAGCAACATGAAACGTTGCTCTCTTCTGTGTTGCTGAAATAAATTAAGGCCTAAGTTAACATTAAAAATGGGATCTGGGAGGTTTCAGTATTTAAAAAACAAACAAACAAAAAAAACAACCTTCTATACCTTCACATTTGCAAAATGGCTGCTGGATTCTTAAAATGGTGCTATGTCCCCAATACTAATAGTATTACTGTGCACACTTTACAGTACGCACTGTGACTGTTTATTGAAGGACCTTCACACTGGTAGGGGCATTTACAGCTTTAAGAGCCAATGGGAATCCGTTATCTTCATTTGATGTACAGTTGTAGGTATTTTTGTTATTAGGGTCATGGGGATTTGGCAGCAGTTTCTCTATAGAGAGTAGGAGCCTTGATATCCCTTGATCTGTTCATCATTGGGATAGAGGCCATGGGGACACATTAGGTCCAACTCCAATTCTCAAGGTGAGGAAGAAGTGGGAGAAGCATTTCACTGAGCACCCTCCAAGCTTTTTATTACTCAGCATGTAAACTGATGCCTTCAAATAGCCAAAAAAAAAAAAAAAAAATCACGATTTATCAAGGATTTTCGGTTCTTTAATTAAGTCACTTTAAAGTTTCCGTGTATCCCAAATAACATCTTTGTTGATAACATAATGAATAGATATTACTAGCCACTTTTTTCCATGTTTTCCTTGAGGAGTATAGTAGATAAAATCTATATCTAAAATGGGCATCCATATTAAATTCAGCAACTGAAAAACTGTTTAGAATATACATTTTGTTTCTATGCAATCCCAATAGTTATACTCTCTCTCTTCACTTCAGCAACAGCCTGACAACATTAATTTCATTAATTTCATTAATTCATGTGGTACTTTGTCAGTTTCCATTTCAAAACACAGTAACATGAAGTGGGGATTGATACAGGGGCCCTTTTGCTCAGAGGGGTTTATAAAGTAAATTGGAACATTGCTAAATTCTAAGCTGAAGAATTTGTAGAAAAGCTATGAAATGTGCTAACTCTTCTGTTCAACCATTCCATCTCCAAACACCTCGCTCCACCCATCATTAGCCCAAAAGGAGCCAGCTAGCTTCGAAGACGGCCTGCTAATTGTATGAAGAACAAAATCCAAGATACTTACTGACTTTAGGGTCCTTTCTGAAATTGAAACACTTCCCTTTCAGTATACTGTCATCTCTCTTTGGGAAAACATAAAAGAGGAAGTGTTAAGTCCCCCTTAGAACCCAAAAACAGTTTCCTAAGATTTGGCAACACATTTAATTCTAATGTGACATATATCATCCAACTAAAAGCAGAAGTAAGGAAATCACACAATATTATGGATTTAAAGTTTATCTGCATTATGGAAAACATGACCATAACTTGTGCAGACAATTAGAACTTATTCTTCAGAGATTTTAGTCGGCGTTAACGCTAGAACACTGATCATTTGAACGTCAAATTTACTAATAATAATAATTAGGAACTTTCATGGTTTTGGCAGAACAATTACAACAAAGCTTGATTTATCACTACTAGCAAACATTATGTATTTAATTATCTGTGTTTATACTTGTTAGGATTGCGTTATTAATGAACAAATTAAAAAAAAAAAAAGAACATCCATGCATAAAAAATAATGCATGAATAAAATGATGCTTTCTACAAAAAATAATTGAGGATAGAATCTCAGTCTCAAAATCTTCTAGTTAGATGAAAGCCAAAAATTGCATACCTCTGCAACCAATTTTTATGTAGCCTATTTATTTGTATTGGGATGCAAGGAAATATAAAATAAAAGTTGAGAAAGGAATAGAAGACTAAAATTATATAAATGGTTTCTTTATATGCCCTGTGCCACCAGTGTCATTTTAGGGGTAATATCTGGACTATAAATCTAAGTGTTTAAATGGATCAGGTATTTCTTTATCTGTTAGAATTCATAATAAATGGATCTTAAGATCACATTGCCTGGAGCTTGTTCAAGGTTAAGACAACTGATATCACATACATTTATAATGGGTGTATAAGTAAAAAATAATGATGGTATGAATATATGTGACACTTGCCACCACATATTGCTATATAGTGCCAAGCATCACACATCTCTACCAGATGTGATGGGACAGTAACTGGTATGGATCACTTTAAAAAGTATAATGTTTAAATAATGTTAAGTGTTCTTCACCTAATATTGGTGCAGACCACAATGCTCCCTCAACGAAACACCACGGATCCTGCTCCTTAGCCTAGCTTCACTGGATTACCAGGGATCTTGCACACCTGACAGCACACAGGTACTCTAAGTCTCCCCCAAACACATACAACACTCATCCACCACATACAAAAAAGAAAGCACATGATTCTGGAGGGTGCTTAATCTGAGTTAAGGAACAGTAACTTTTAATATTCTAGAATCTACAGTTCTTCATATTATAAAGAAACAATGTGACCATGTTGGTATGAACATTGCCAGTCCCACAGTACACAAAACTGAGAAGCATGGAAGCAGTGGTGGCTAATGAAGTTTAAAGACGGTGGAATGCTGGACACTACCACATATTTTCATTCTAGTGATTCCTTTGTGAAATTACCCATGATGAATCTCACAAGACTCCGTTATGAAATGTACCTGCAACAAAAAAAAAAAAAAATCAATTACTAACAAAGAAGTTATTTACCTGTCAAATCCTACTCTGAATGTTGGCCCACCCTGTATAAGTAACTATGAATCACAAACTATTCAGATTCTCAAAATAAATATAGTCTTTTAAATGCATATAGCATATTTTTGAATTATGAGTAGGTAATTAAGCATTGAAAAATAACATGGAATAGTGGGAGGGAGAGGCAAAAGTACCACTACCCCTGATAGTGTAGTAACGTTTGAAAGGCTTATAAATGTTTTATTTAAAAATATCCCTTTAGGGGCATGGCCTGGCAGCTCATGGCAGCGGATATTTGAGCCATCAGCTCCTCCAAGGGTGAAAATAAACTAGACGAACCTTTACTGCCTTACCTAGAGCAGAAAACAACATTATAACCCCCTAGAGCATCATGTCACAATGAGCCCCCAAAAACCGAGGCTGAAGCAAACAGAGCTGCAAATTTCCTCCTTGCCGCCACCACGCAGCCGCACACAAAATGGCGCCGACGGCCCTAACTCTCCCGCGGCCAGATCCGACTGCAGCGATAATACCTCCATCTCTACAGGGAACGCTACACCTGCATCAGAAGATACTATGCAGAGAATGCTACAGAACCTGCAGCACACACTGCAAGCGGAATTTACAAAAATGGTGCGAGGTGTCCGTGAGGACATAAAAATGATAAGTGAACGCACTGCTGCGCTTGAAGACAAAACCTAAGAGATAATAGATGGCCATAACAACCTGGCAGAAGTAGTGGAATCTCTAGAATCACGCCTGACCCTTTTGACTGCCAAAGTGGCAGATCATGAGGACCGTAACAGGCACAATAATATACGCCTTAGAGGAATAGCATAGGAAATCAAACCCTCAGAACTTCAAGATTATGCAGTGGGCCTTTTCAAAGCTCAATGCCCAGGCTTTATGGATAATGACCTATGCCTAGATCGTACACACCATCTACCACGGCCTAAATTTTTAGATTCCTCCAAACCAAGAGATTTACTCACGCGAGTCCATTATTTCACTTCAAAAGAAGCTATCATGCGGGCGGCAAGAATCCTGGATAACATGCCTCCTGAATTTAAAGGGATAAAATTATTTGTTGATCTCTCTGCAGCAACACTGATGAAACGAAAAGAGCTTATACCGAAAACTCAAGCCCTAAGAGATGGAAGCGTTTTACACAAGTGGGGATACCCTACATGTATTGTTGTTAAGAAGAATGGAGCAGAATACCACATTCACAATATAACTGATGGGACCAGACTTCTGAAAGAATGGAACCTACCGGTCACTATACAAGACAAAACAGAACACACAAGAAACCCATGAAAATCACCGACTAAAATCACCAAAGACTTGGACACAATACCAATAACCAAATCATAAGATCTGTATCGAGTTGCTGTATGTTATCAATTCACTCCACAGAAAGTCACCGGCTTGATACGTGAGCATGTTTCATACTGTTGAATCGCATGTTTCATACTGTTGAATTTTTATTATTATTAGATGGCTATTGAATGCCTAGCATGTCAAAACTTAAACATAGTTTACTGAAATTCACTTAAAACCTTCTTTCTGCAGTGATTTTAGATAACATGTCAATATAGAATTGGTTATTAATGTATGCATCTTGAACCCCACCTAACTAACAAAAAGGTAGGCAGTTAACTACTTAGAAACCACCCTCCCCATTTCTGGCTCTATGGAGCCTTTAAAATCAAAGGTTACTGTCAGATGTTTTCTGTCTGACAACCAAAATGTATATAGTTACTTGTTGGATAAATTTTTCTCCTCCCCCTACCCGCACCAGCTCAACCCCACACTCCCTGGTATCACAAGGTAAAGCGCAATTACATGCCCTATTACAACCGGCGAACAGCCGAGATAAACAAAAATAACCACCTTAACAAGCAGGAATCTACGACACAGGTGCTTAGCCTCCTCTTTACCAGAGACACTAAAAGGCGGAAAATACACACAATAACAGGCTCTCATCAGGGTCAATCACTGCAAACGAACTGGCCCAGCCAAATAACAACACCACAGAGGAAACATATTCCACTAAAAATCTACTGCACCCCATTCACCATGTGTCACCCCTCAAGCAGCCGACACACGTAGAGAGAACCCACTTCACATTGGACCACGCTCTCCGAAAAAACACTAATGGCTCTAAATGTAATATCCTTTAATGTAAAAGGCTTGAACTCCCCACATAAGCGCAGACTAGCTCTCAACGAAGCTAAAAAGATGAAGGCTACAGTAGCCTTCTTCCAAGAAACACACTTCCTGAATTCCAAAATACCCAAATTCACATCCAAACAATTCCCCATCGGTTATCATACTGAATATTCCAAAAAGAAAAGAGGAGTATCCATACTCTTTAACAAAGATGTCCCCTTCTCCCTGCACAAAAAAATAGGAGACAAAGAGGGTCGCTTTCTCATAGTTCAATGTCTGGTCAACAATGAACCATTCACATTTTTCAACGAGAACCAATCAACATACCTAGAAAAAGTTTTGACCCTAGCTAACTTACATAAATTCGGTAATCTGGTGATAGGGGGTGCCACCAATTTTGTATTGGACAACACTTTAGACACCACCTCTAATATGGATATTTCACAAGCCACGACCAGGAAACGCCTACTAATGACAAAGACCATCCAACAACATCTACACAACACTGGTTTTCTGGATGCATGGAGGGTGTTACATCCCACTGAGAAGGACTTTACCTTCCACTCACAGGTTCACAATTCGTACTCACATACCTCCATGATTCCTAAAATCCAATCCGCCCATATAGGACTCATAACGTGGTCCGACCACGCTCCTATCTCCCTAACCTTAACTTCCCAATACCCCAACAGAGGGTCAGGATCCTGCAGGTTAAATTAATCCTTATTAAACGACCTCAAAATCATTGCACAAATCAAAGAAGATCTTATATCATATTTTAAAACCAACACCACTGACTCCTCATCCCTAGACATGATATGGCAAGCCCATAAGGCAGTGCTTAGAGGACTATTCATCAAACATGCTAGCTACACAAAAAAATGGCTTCTTACCTACAACACCTTAATTCAATGAATAGCAACACTTACACATACTAATAAAATAAACCCAACACCGAACCAACAGGAACAACTGCAAACAGTACAAATAAAACTGTGCAAATTAGAAACTGACAAAACTAATTATATCCTACAAAAATAAAAACACAAATTCTTTGCCCAAGGCAACAAGGCGGGATCCCTCCTAGCGTCTAAACTAAAAATGTGTATGACTAATTCGAGGGTACCCTATATCTTATCCTCCAATAACAAACTTCTGCACCCACAGGATATAGTGGAAGAATTCGCAAAGTATTATAGCTCCCAATATAACCTTAAGGAAGACCTCTTAACACCTACACCCTCCAAAGAGCATATCACACATTTCCTAGATACAGTCAATCTCCCCACCTTAACACAGGAAGAAATAAACCTTATCACTCAACCATTTACAGAAGAGGAATTGCAACAAACTATAACCCAGCTACCCCCACATAAATCCCCAGGGCCGGACGGCATTACCAACCTCTACTATCAAACATTCTCTGAAGTGCTGACTCCCCACCTTACACTCCTTTTCAACCAATGCTTCACGACGGGGACAATGCCAGCAGATATGTTACAAGCAACCCTGCCTAAGCCGGGTAAACCACCCACGCTTTGCCAGAACTTTAGGCCAATTTCTCTTTTAAATTGAGGTACAAAGATATATGCAGAAATTTTAGCAGACAGACTAAAAAACATTTTAACCCGCATAATCCATAACGACCAATCAGGATTTGTAAGGAATAGGCAAGGGTCAGACAACACAAGAAAAGTACTGTCCAACATCTAGAGTCACCGGTGCAGGGTTTGTGTCATCCCCCTTCTCTATCACTAACGGCACCCGTCAAGGCTGCCCGTTATCACCTCTACTTTTTGTTCTCTCCCTTGAACCACTCACCTGCAAAATTAGAGCTCTACCAAACATAACCGGGATTACTATTAACCCCTTAAGGACACAACTTCTGGAATAAAAGGGAATCATGACAGAATATTTCCGTCATGTGTCCTTAAGGGGTTAAGTCCTTAGAATATACTCTGTCAATGTTCGCAGACGATGTCCTCATTACAATGTCCCACCCTGAGCGTTCTTTACCACACCTCATCAGCATCTTGGAGGAACATAGTAAGATATCCTATTACAAACTGAACCAATCAAAAACTCAGGCCTTACCCCTTCGCTTGTCTTCTTCCATGTCCAATTTGAAATGCAAATTCCCTTTCGATTGGAGACACACACACACACATCAACTATCTAAGAGTTAAAATTGCTGCAACTTACCGAAGTATTACCATGCTCAATTTGTTTTCCCTACCACAATTGTGTAAACACGCCCTACATAAATGGAAAGATGTTATGTTGACGTGGCTAGGCAGGATTAACACCATTAAAATGATGGTCCGACCGAAACTATTATATGTATTTAGAATGCTGCCCCTACCACTTTCACCCACACTAGGCAAACAAATACAAAATGTACTCTCAGCATTTATTTAGGAAAAAAAGAAGCCGAGACTACCACTAACCTTGATTCAATCTCCGAACACAAAAGGAGGTGTTGGGTTCCCCAACGTAATGAGATACCACAAAGCCGCAATCTTAGAAAGCACAGTAAAATTACATGCCCCGTTGCTAACATTGCAATGGGCAGACCTCGAAAATCAAGACAGCCCCAGAGGATCAGTCATAGACCATATGTGGACCCCTAAACAATTGAGAGTTAAACACTGTAAACTACTCCCCTTGTCCCAATACTCTACCCACGTTTGGGATCATTTTCATCATTCCAAACAGAACAGTTCAAAATTCTCCTGCCAAGCCCCAATAACAGCGCTTCAATTGATATCCCCATGGCTGTCCCTGAATAAATGGAAAGAACTGGGAATTAAACGTATCAAAGACATATGCCAAGAAGGGGCAATACTACCCTTTCCGACATTACAAACCATGTTTAATCTTCCCCCGTCTTTCATCTTCCCATATCTCCAGTTAAAGAACATAGTCATAGATAAGGTAATGCATCCCACAAAAGAGACACATTCTATAGACCTAGAATCACTCAAACTATATGACAGATGGCACTCGTCACCGACAAGAAATACAACCCTATCCGTGGGATATGCAGCGCTAGGAAATCAAGTTGACCCACCACAATTTGTCTATAAAGTACAGTGGGAAAAAGAACACCCCTTAGCATTTACAGATCAACATTGGCTAAACACACTAACAGCCCTCAGGGGCGTAACCACATGCTATTCACATGTTGAAACCCACAAAAAGATTGTGTACCGATGGTACTACACTCCCGACAGACTTCAGATAACTGTTGGAGATGTGGGCAAAATAGAGGTACTATGAACCACATTTGGTGGGACTGCCATATCATTGCACCACTATGGAGAGAAACCCAAAACTTATGGTCACTACTGGGCATCCCGAACTAACACTGACAATTGAATTGTGTCTATTTCTTTTAATCCCTACACCTATTTCCAACCAAGATAAACATATGGTACTAATTACGATACTAGCGACACGTAACCTAATAGCATCACACTGGAAAAGCAACGCGTGTCCATCACCCTCAATGTTGGAACAAAAAACTAGACAGTATCTCAAATATGAAAAACTGTCAGCTATGTCGCACAAACAAATCACCATCGCACACTCCAACTGGACCAGATGGCCTAACCTTAAACCATAACAATTACTTCTCACTTATAGTATAAATAAAAAGGTCAGGGCGAGAAAAGGCGAGTGACGCATATACAGTTATGTACAGATACCTGTGAATGCCTTAAACACAATGCCTAGGTAACCATGTTTGTAATGTATATATATAAAAAAAAAAAAACATGAAATATTGTGTGACTGGCCATACACTCCCATGCTGGATATTACTGTGACCCCAATGAAAGGTTCAAAAGGTATGTGACTAAGCCCTGAGAGTGGCGACAGTAGAAATACCTATGCATAAACGGTTAAACGTAACCCCCAAGATGGGCCTTAATCAAATTAAATTACAACTGATAAATTTGTCTTACCTGCAACACTTGGACTTAACCATGGGCGATTGAAAGTCATGTGCACAAAAGTCATGTGAACAATTTGATATGTGATGTATTGCAATTACTTGTGAACCACCCTCCCTTCCCCCGCTTTTTTATCTTCTGTTCCCCCACCCAATACAAAATTTCAATAAAATACAAATAAAAAAAAAAATATATCCCTTTAAAAGAAATGCGTTTCACCACAGTGTGGCTTTATCAATGGCTTAGTTAAACTAGGTTATAACTATGTTATATGAATGAAACATACAATGTATTTGGAGACTCTGAAAAGTTAATGATTCATTTGCCCATGCATTGAGTGTAGTCCTAACACTGTCATTGTCTATATTTGAATATTCCGTAGGTTAGTGGCTATTTCCCTACACAAAGGAGTCCTGCCCCTGGTGGCTCTTTAAACACATTGGATTAAACATATCCTCTGAAAGCAGTACAGTGCTGCCATTGAAGACACTTTAACATATTACAACTGTGGCAAAACTAGCCACTTAAGACTATAACTACAGGAATATGTGCCTATCCCTGGTTCATCTGTGAGAACCAAGCATATTGCTATATGTGTCTTTCAGGCGAATGAGGGCATTCGTATGCTGGTGGTATGAAAACCCCAGCATTCCTAATGTAGTTTCACGAACAGTGAGTTTCATCACTGTTCGTGAAATGAATAAACTACCGAATGGACGACCACACACAAGAGGTCGTATGGTGCCCATTAACCGATTAACCCTAGGTGGCCGTCGTTCGGCTACCGACCACGCAGCGATCGGCCACCTTGGTTCCTTTGTTAGCCCAGCGGTATTTGCCGTCGAGCGTCAGGAACTAAAATCGGCTACTCGACGGCGTGAACACCGCTGGACTTCCAGGCTGTTTGGGAGCCCCTGGTGTTTGGTAGTTTGTTCCCCTAATACCAAATCGGTATTTTAACAGTGTTTTGGAAATAATGTGTATTTC